ACAGGGCACCAAAGGGTAATTGAAAGCTGTGTGTTTTTAGATAGTTTGTCTATTCTGGGCTTCATTCTCAGGAGATCCTGAAGACCTTATCAATATGTTAGTATCTTAATTTTTTTTCTTAAACAGCTTAGTAGACACTCCAACTGCTCATCTTGAGAGGGTAGAGTCATGACTCTTAGTATTCTGGAATTTCATTATGGCATGGGCTAGGGTTTCTCAACAGACAGAAAGTAAACTTTTCCTGTATCCAACAAGTTTTCAGTTCAGTATCCCTATCTTCAAATGTGCTTAGTAGTCTCTGGGCCCAAAATCCCTCTTTTTAACCTCTTCAGAGATTCAACTTCTTGCATGTGTGAAGGGCCCAGGGGAATGGTGCCCAGCCAGCTATAGTGGTGGAGAGGACAGTGAGGCCTACGTGCTTTCTAATACTTGACCTGTCTGCTCACCTGTACATGTCACATCACTGCTGGAGACTCTCACAGAAAGCAAAAACTACTCTGCTTTCCCTGCTCCTAACTTAGTATTCAGCTTTCCCAAATCCTCTGTTAAATCACTACTCCTTCCATTTCCAGCACCCAACATTTGGGGATGTCATTTTTTTTCCTATTTTTTATTTGTACTTGTAGAATTATGCCTTTAAAAAAGCAACAAAGCAACATTTTTCACATATTATTGTTGGATTTCCAGAGGTAACTGATTTAAGTATTTGTGTCATCCTGTCATCTTTAACCAAAGGACAGAATATTGAACAACTTTTCTTACTGATTTCTAATTTAGTGTCAAAGATTGAATCTTTGAAATTTGTCGAGGCTTGCTTGATAGCCTTGGATTGATTGATTTTTAAAAATGCTCCCTCTGTGTTTAAGATGAACATGTTCTTTAATTGTTGGTATCTTAGTCATTTGTTGAATTAAGTTTGCAAATTATATATAAATTTTCACATACTTACTCATTTCCTTCTTCTCAATCTACTAATTATCTAGAGAGGTTCATTAAAACCCACCATCTCAATTGTAGAGGTGTCAGTTTTTCCTTGCAAGTCTGTCAACTTCGCTTCATGTATTTTGAAACCATGAATTAGGGCCATAGATGTTTCCAAGTAGTTTTATTTTCTTGGTAGATGGCTCCCACTAACTACATCGAATGACTCTCTTTATTCCTCCATCAATTCTATTTGCCTTTAATTCTGTTTTATCTATTTTATAATCTTGTCTGATACTTCTTTTCCATTCCTTCAGCCTTCCTATGTTAATGTGTTTTAAATGTATCTCTTATAAACAGCATTTAAATAAAGTAAAAATTGATCTGACAATATTTGTCCTAATTGAAATTTTACATTTATTATAGTTAATGCCTTGTTGATTAATTTCTGCCATTCATATAAAACTCACTAGTGTGCTTTTACTATTCATCATTTCTTTTCTTTCCTGCCTTCTACCAACTTGCAGATCCCCATTTTTCCTGTCCATTAATTTGAAAGTTATACATTCTGTTTTTATTTTTATATTGAAACCTTTAAAATTTGAAAATTACAAATGGCATAAAGTCCAACTTCCACCAATTTCTTTATCTTTTCATAGTCTTATTTTCATCATCTCTTCCATCTCAGGTGTTATTGTTTGTTCAGTTTTTATATTCAAATTAGTCATTAGTTCCAGAATTTTTGTTTTGTGACCCGATTTTAGTTCCTTGTGTAGGCTTAAGATATCATTTCTGCCTCTTGGTTGAGTATCAGCAACAAAGTCCATATTATTTATAATATTAGAAAAACCCCAGAGAAACATTAGTGTTATACATTCATTTATATTTTAAAAAAGAAACACTGGAAGAATACATAAAAAATAACAGAATGATCAATTGTGAGAGAGGTAGTTGGTGGAGAACAGGCTGGATGGGCGGGCTATGACTGGGCTATCTGTCTGAATGTACTTTCTTAATCAAGGCTGTCCTGCGAGGAACACTGGTATTTAGTGCTGGATACAGGAAAGGGAGGAGCAGAAGTGACTCAGAAGGAAGACCTGGGAGTTTGTCAGATATCTAAGTGCTAGAGTTCCTGCTCAGGAACAGAGGGGCCCTGCCTTTCCCATCCTGTGTACCCTCTCTGGGTCATCTCACACCATCTATATCTGGTAAAGCCTTTTTCCTGCATAATACTTGTGAGTGTTGATAATCATTTCTTTGTATACTTGTTTATTCTTTTTCCACTAGAACATAAAAATCTTACTAATTTTAAACTAATTATGTTATTGCACATCTGTTTAATACTTCACAGCTTACTAAATATGAACCATCAGTTACTCCAGTCTCCTCCCAACAGGTCACCACTGGATGCTTTTTCAGTTGATAAATGAAAAAAACTGAGACCTAGACTGAAATGGCTTTTCGAGTTCTGGCAAGATATGGTTTATGAGCTTGGCTGAAAATCCAGGTCTTATTTTTAGTCCAGTGTCTTTCTGTGCTTCATTCCATATCAAAATTAGCTGATGGGAACACAACCACATACCCCAGAGCTTCCTGTATTCCAAAGAAGTAGATCTGATATCACAGGAAAACAGTTACATTAAATACTTAGGTAACATGATGAGAAATCTCTTATTCTATTTGAAGGAAATTACTTCGGGCATAATTAATGATATCAATTATGATGTGATATGTAATTTTTAATACCTAGCACAGGTGGAGGCATATAATGAGAAGATGCCCTGCTATTGTAGTAGAATAATGAAATAACCTGCAGTCCACATTTATCTGTGGATGCTGTGACTTTGTTTTCATTTTAGCCTTGCAGTATTCTTAAAATGAAAAAATTAAATCTTCCAGGCCATATTTGAAAAGAAATGCCATTTTTTCTGTTTTCCCTAATAAAAAATTCCTTATGTAATATGAATTATCAGCAATGTTTTCTTCTGTGTTTGGCAAGTAGAGAGAGGCTTTCCATTTCTTTAAAATCTCATTAGGAATACATAAATCCTTTTAAAATTTTTTTCCTCCAAAGCACATATAATGCCTATTTGTAACATTAAGCCACATTGTTTTCTGTTTGTTGGTTTGTTTTTTGGGGTATCAGGGATTGAACTCAGGGGTACTCTGCCACTGAGCCACATCCCCAGCCCTATTTTATATTTTATTTAGAGACAGGGTCTCAGTGAGTTGCTTAATGCCTCACTTTTGCTAAGGCTGGCTTTGAACTGAAGATCCTCCTGCCTCAGCCTCCCTCCCAAGCTGGTGGGATTATAGGCATACGCTACCACACCCAGCTAAGCCACATTGTTTTTAAAACAGTGAATGAGTTAGTGCCTTAAAAGAGCATGTCACTGGTAATATGAATATCCAACATTCCCTGAGTATTTAGTATTGCTAGACTCTATTGTAGATACATGCTTTCATATATTTTACCTTCACAATAATCCTATGAGGTAGATATGATTATTATCACCATTATGGATGAGGGTAACCCTGTCCCAGTGTATGAGAACCATTCCCAAGATGAGGAAAGACGCAGATGGATTTAGATTTTTCACAGAGTGCAACTTACTAGGCATTACTGACAGAAGCATGGTCCTAGCTGTCAGCAAAACCAGTAGAGCCTCATAATTTGAGCTAGAAGAAGGGGCATTTATATAGTTAGGACAAGTGAATTCATCCAAGTTGGAGTGAACCTGGCTCATCTCACCCTAACATCAATGACTTCAGGCATATTTCTGGCATAAACTGCACTAGGGTCCATTTGTAATGCTTCACATATCACTCTAATGGTTTTGTTTATTTATAACATGCCAGGAAAACTGCAGGGAAAACCCATCAGAGCATTCAGGAGTACTCATGGCAGTTATGGCTTTAGATGGCTTTAGTCATGTCAAACTGAAATCCTACACACACCCAAGTCACTTAGTCTGAATTTAACATAAAAACAAAATTTGAATGCTGATAGTTTGGTGGTGGCGGGGGAGAGAATCTCATTAAGTAGTGTGAAGAAAGCAAATAGCATCATCTATTAATGTATTTTCACTGATGAAAGAATTTCACCACATCTGGAGTTGAGAATTTAGAGCTTTTTTTAGACAGTGGACAACAACATTTAGTCAAAGGTTAATCTGCACTGTTAGCCTGGTGCTTTCCATATAAATTCTTGAAAAATGCTAGTTGAATAATAAGTGAAATGTGCCTTTTATTTATATCCACAATTGTCTTATCTAAAACAATGCTACAAGTATGCCTATAATATCTGATCACATAGCTGCTTGAAAGGAAAATGGAATAAGTAATTTCCTTCTGTTGGTTTCTGAAGGAACGAGCTATTGTTCCACATATTTTACATTTCTACAATAAAAAGGTAACTGAAAGGATATGCTTTTTTGGTATTCCTAATTTTAGTGCACATTATTAAGTTGTTCATTTTAGGTATTTGAGCTTTTGGCTTCCTTTAATTTATTTTTATTTCTTTTATTACTTTTATTTCTTCTGACAAATTGCAAAAATCCTGAAAGATTTTTGCTTGAGAAGGCAATCCTGTCCTTTGTTACAGACTCAAAGAATGTGTTCTCTACATTTCTGGGGTGAGGAAGGTTTTATAATTGAATTGATGATTTCTAACTGTGTTTGAAAAGTAGAGTCAAGATCCCTGGAAACATTTTTCCCAGGAGCTACCTAATTTACCCTCATTCTATCACTATGTCTTCCCCGCACCCCAATCTTTGACCTTCTTCTATATTCAAACTTTATACTTGAATATCAAAATAAATTGATTTGTAATCTATGTTCCCACTTGTCTGTGAGTCATTCATTCTTTCCAAGGCCCAACTCAAGTATTATTTCCTCTATGGAGCTTTTCTATATCACTTTTCTTCATGAGCTTATTGGTTTGTCATTAAATGTAATATTTGTTCTAAGGTATGAAACTGAAGGACCACTGGGCAGAAACTGAGGAAGACAGAATTTGGCTCACTATGGAACCCTCAAGGCAGCCCCTGGATTGATGGCTCGATAGAAGGATACCCAGGACCTAGCATATCATCATGCTCGTACTGATGTTTATTCAGTGAGTGGATACAAACAAAATCAACAAGGGGCAAAGGTGCATGGGGCAAAGTTTAGAGAAAACCACGGGTAGGCTTCCAAGAGTCCTGCTCTGGTGACATCACACAGGAACAAGTTGTGACAAGTTTAAATGTTGTCTATCAGGGAAGCTCAGTAGAGACTCCGTGCCCCAAATTTTTGCTGTAGACCTATCATGTAGGCAACGCCTGCCTAGTACATACCGAAATTTCAGATTCCCAGAAGGAAAGCATGAGTTCTGCATAAACCATTGTTTATATACAGTGCAGGCACAGGGAGCCACTCCTTTGAATTCTGAGAATGGTGTTAACCTTCCAGAAATCCAGGTTCCCAGATACCAGCCGAGGCCAATCTTGCAAACAAGTCTTTTTGAGGATAGCAGTCTCAGGCCTGCTATGGTAACTCTTTTTTTTGCCAAGTATGGTGTAAGGAAGGACTTTCTGAAGTGCTGACGTAGAAGTAGAAACTATCTTGTTACGAAAGATATTTATAAATGAATTGGATAGAGACCTGTATGAGAAGTTGTAGAGCCCTCCCGCCCTGGCAGCTTTGAAAAGCCATCTTTGCATTGTTTCTGAGTCCAGTGCCTTTTCCACTGCTACCACCTCCGTGGTACCTCTCAGCCACATCCCCAGCCCCTGTAATCTCAGAAGAAGAAAGAAAAAACTTAAAAAAAAAATCAAAAACAACAACAATGACAACAAAGTCTTATTCCAAGCATTCTAGTAACTTTTTTGTGTATGACTTATCAAGTAGTCGGGTTGGTATGTCCTATAAGTAGTTGGTTAAAAAGGCCAAATAGAAAAAATTTTTTTAAAATTTTATCTTTAAAGTTGCTGTTTATTTACTTTTTTTGGCCTCTTTGATGTATATATGAAACAATATTGTTGAACAATAAACCAGAATTTTATTTTGCCAAGTTGTTCTAACCAAAAGGAGAAGGAGAAGAAAGGAAGAAGTTTTAGAGAAGATATATCCTTTGCCACTCTCCAGCCTTGAGACTTTTATAATCCTGTGATATAGCTATTATTTTATAGTTTCCTTTTTTCATGCACTTGTCCTTTATTATACAGGAAGGTACTAGGTTAGAAGTCAGGATACCTAAGTTTTGACTTGGAAATGTCACTCTTCATGTCTTTTCTTAATTTCTCTTGTGTGTTTATAAAGGCTTTGAACATGTGTATCTCAGAGTTTTTTCCTCTGTCTTTCTCTCTTTTCATTTTCATTTCATTTCTGCCCCTTGGGGAAGTCTGTTGGATTACTTTGATGGTTAAAAAGTTCTCGACACAGTGCTACTAAGTCAGGGGGGTTTAAATTAATTCTGTGGGTTAGAACACTAGAGTTTTACTGTCTGTTTCATCTAAGATCTTTATTCTCTAATGTTCTTGGTCCTAATGAAACATTTCTGTATACAAAAATGCCACAGTGTTAATTCCCTAGAAAAAAGCCATTATTGTTTACATAGTGGTCATCATGATCAGCATAGGGTAATTTTTAAAAAATAAACTATTCCCTTCAAACAAAAAGTTCTTAGTGATAGATGAGAAAACTATTTTCCTATAGTATACAACAATTCTTATTGTTCTTAATCAGAAATTCTTAGAATTGGAAGGGACCTCAGTTGTCACTTAGTCTATAGTTATCAGTTACCAGACAGAGACATGGACCTGTGTCTGGGAACCACTGCCTATACCAAACCTCTTTTCATCCACCTCCTACCAGTGAAAATTTTGCTTTCAGCTGTCCTGTTTGTTCAGGACTTAACTAACTTCATTATCATTTCTCCAACATTTTCTTGACCTAGGACTTTCCTTCACACATTTAATTTCAAACATAAAATTAACAAGAACAGCAAAAATGCCCAGCCATTTCTTGTCCACTTACTATATCACTGGTCTCTTTTAGGTACTTACCCGTGTTTACTTTAGCATTCTTACAATAGTGTGAAGGGTATTATTCCTGTTTCTATAGAAATTAAATAACTTACTCGAAGCCATACAACTAGTAGGTGGCAGAATTGAATAATAAAACAGATTAATGATGTGCATTTTTCAGTATTCGATGTTGCTTCCAATCTCATCTTTTATTGTGCCTTCTCTGATTAGATCTCCTCTTCATCAATGAGGAGATGTATAAATGTAGGTTTTCTGCTCTGGTCAAGTCTGAAGGGACTTTTCCATCTTCTTTCCTAGCCAAATGACTATCCTGTCCAAGTTCTAGTTTCCTCCATGATGTCTTCTCACTCTACTCCTTGTTCTTGGATCTTTCTAAGCTCTTCTGATTTCAGAACAATTACAAGCTGTACCACTTGCTTGCCATTTCTTGACCGTTCATAGTAACTTTATTTGCATAGAAATTCATTATTTATTAAGTCCTTAGCTGCATTGTAGACGTCTTGGGGTCGGTGGCTATGTTTTATGTCACTGCATTCTGCACCCTGCAATGTTGCAAAATGCATAGTTGGTACACAATAAGTACTTATTGAATGACCATCTGGAGCATTTGAGAAATGGGACTGTCGAGTCACAGTTTGAGATGACTTTGGATAATATTTTAGGTTTCTTGATTAGTACCCAAAACCATTACAGGTGCTATTAGAGTAGCTCTAACAGTATTTCTTTTTCCTCATTTTCATGACACTCAGAGACTCCTAAGGTCTGCTAGCTATCCTAACGATCTTTCCTCTTGTGTAGGGTCCCTTTGATCTTGAAATTTTTCCTTTCTTTGGGCTTCTATGCTCTCATTAGTAAAGTAACATCAAATTATCTCCAGGTTTCCTGATAGCTCTAATATTCTATGATACTATTATCCAGAATCTCTGCTGAACGATGAGGCAAACTTTGTATCACATTTCTTTCACATAAAGTCAAATTGGTTTTCATTGAACAAGTTCTGGAGAATAAAACTTTTATCTAAGCCCTAGACTTAGTGGGCATATTAGTACTGGTGGGCATATTAGTACTGGTGTTCTCTGTGGGTTTTTAATCAAAGAAAACTTTGGACTCAGGAATGGTGATGTTCGTCAGTACCAGCAGCTACAGCTGAGAATGTGAGCTAGGAAAATGTGATTGATGTCATTAGACCCATTTGGACAAAAGTGATATTCTCAAAGCACACCCCAGCATCTGAGTTATTTTTGTCTCATGTGGGTCAAAGTCTGGGGCTTAGTCTCCTCCCCTGTAAAGGTAGATAGACAGTTTAATGATGGCTCTGCCATCATTAAAGGGCATTTGGTCTTAATAATGGGCTCAAGATTTTCCTTTATCCATTGGAAACTTTAACAAGGAAACTATGGTAGTAAGAACAGTTTGATGTGGGAAATAATAAGCACCTCTTAAAATCAGGGTTGCCTTCATTATTGACTCTGAGCATGTAATTTTCCTTTCCATATTAGAGTCTTCTTTTCTGAGTTTTGTGTTGCTCTTTTCTGATATTCTAACTATGAATTGGTATTTTTCAAAATCCCTCTCCCATGCCCATCCCTTGAATGACGTTTCTCCTTTCTCAAAAATTCTAAGAAGCATCTGTCATGAAATATTTTAAAAATATTCTTTTTAATTGTAGATGGAAATGATACCTTTATTTTATTTATTTATTTCTATGTGGTGCTGAGGATTGAACCCAGTGCCTCACATGTGCAAGGCAAGCACTCTGCCACTGAGCCACAACCCCAACCCTCTGACATGAAATTTAATGTTTAGTTCTCTGTCTTACATTATCTCATTATTTTTTGCATGTTTTTTTTTGTCTCCTTAAATAGATTATTTACTTCTTGAGTGCAAGGAACAGTCTTTGTTCATTCATATAATCCTGATATCACTTGACTGATTCCAGAAACAATATGGAGGAAGATGTGAGAGAATGTAAAGGACTTAGCACCTCTTGCATTTATTCCCTTTACGAGGCATTGGAATATGTACCTTACAGTTTAATCCTAATTTTTATGACTGTCTGAAGTTAAGAAATATTAGGTTCATTTTATTCCTGAGGAGACTCGTCTCAGAAAGGGAAAGTAGGGGGTAAAAAGGCTGCGGGGAGGCAGGCATATTTGTATTAAACCACCTCCCTCTATGCCATTTGCTTTCCATGTTACCAACATAAGTTAGTTCACCCCTTTGAGCCTCAGTTTCAAGATGGGAATAATACCTACCCTATTGGGAACTTCTGAATCTTAATGAGAAAGGTTATGTCTATAAGGGACCTTTGAGTGCCTAGCACATAGTCTATAAAGTCAATAAGTAAGACACATTGGGATGTAAAATGGACAGGAATATCTATTAGTTTGGTTGTGGTGTATGATGGGAGAAAAACATGAAGTATGACTCCCAGATGACTATCTTGAACAATTGGGAAAACAAGGAAGAATTTATGGAGAATCTAGAGCACTGGAAGAAGCAGATGTGGGAGAGGAATATTGAATTTGATTTTGAGATATTGAATAAGAAATCAAATAAGCAAATTTGGAGAGATTTGAGACAAAGGTCCAGTATACAGTCTGGGAGTTGTTGGCCTAACTGTGCTAACTAATGTCCTTAGGCAAAAGAGAGGAAGGGCCAAGTAGGATGGCCTGAGTTATAAAGAACCTCAACACCGATGAAGGTGACCAAGAACGGGCAGCTAGACAGGCTAGAGACCCAGGGAAGTACAGTGTGTCTCTAAAGCCAAGGGGAGAAAATGTTCTAAGAAAGAGTCATTGATATGCAGTGTCTCTTAGTTCTCACCTCTGTTTACTCTCCAACTCACCACAGTTTGGCTTCTGTACCATCCCCCTCAACTGCACTGAGATACCACTTGCCAAATGACTGTCACCTAAATTAGGTGGGCATGTCTCTGTTATTGAACTTGTTCTCTGAGGAGTGTTCATCACAGCCAGCCATTCCATCTGTCTTTCTCCTGCCTCAGTGGCTGTTAAAGAGCCCTTTCCTTGTTAATTCCTCTCTCCCTGGTCTCTAAATCTTGGGATTCCTCAAGGGTCAGAAGGGA